AAAGAACTATTAACTTGAGCAGCATAAGAAAAGCTATAGGTATAGAACTGAACACCTAAAAGCTCAATCAAAGAAGCCAAAATTGAATTTAAATGACAAAAGAAGTTAAAAGAATAGATATAATTTTGAATCTAAGCACAAGGTGACCACCTCCATTATTAATTGGCATATATAACACTAACCATGGGGAAAAAAGTAAGGGATTTTTTAACTAATTTTCTAACTAAGTCACATTTTGATGACAATGAATATAAAATGATTTAAATGATACATTCTCATCTAACAAATGAATGGAAACTTTCAGATGTAATGAAATACGTAATACAACATAAATTAATGAGGAAAATTCCACATAAGTCTTGAGATTTAGGAAGGGAGACACTCTAGCCCCAGCGGGCTAATGAGTACAATTAACATGCAAATGCACACAGGTGACTAAAGGAAATGCCCATCCTGACATGAGTTAATAATTCTCAATAAAAAAAAACAAAAAAAGGAGGTTCTTGTTGTATATAATACAAAAGATGAAAGTTTCTAACAATAAAAACATAAAATGTCACTCTATGTACAAGGTTCTGCTTTAAATATGGAGCAAATATGAGGGCAGGGTGCAGTCAAGGGTTCCCTAAAAGTTAACGAGTAGTTAAGGAGTTTTTCTTGAATAATGTTGCAATTTCTTGTCATTGGGGTGATGGTATCCTTTCAGAGTTCATAATAAATCAAGCAGCAGACTGTAAACAAAAAGATTAAAAATACAAGGAATTAGATTACTCATTAGAATTTAATTAACTCTAATTAAAAGGAAAACAAATAGCGCAAAATTACCTCTTGGGGACTGGTCGTCATCTCTTCACTCCCTGATGCACTATCCTCACACACCTCCATTGGCTCATCGTCATCTGCAACTTCCATAGCTTCACTGGCTTCGGACGGCTGATTGCTGCTCTCATCAACATCCATAGCCTCCATGTCTGTGGGCCCACTAGCAGCTCCAGAACTTTCTGTGCTGGTGATACTTACATCAACAGCTGATTTCACAACCTCAACATTCACTTTAGCTTCATTTTCTACTTTATCTGACACTGGAGTTGCCTCTGAACTCTCAGGAACATCAACATTGCTTGGTTTAATATCTTTGACAGATTTTTCATCAGATACTTCTGGGGTAATTTCTGTTTCAGTAGAACCGGAAGAGACAACCTCTGAGGATGGAGTTTCTTTCTTTGCTGTGGTGTTGGTTACAGATGAGTCAGAAGATTCTGTTGAGTCAGCAGGTTGTTCTACTTCAGAGGAAGTGACAGACTCGATGACGGCTGAGTCTACTGTGGTAGCTTCTGCTTCTTGAACAACCTCTGCTGATTCTTCAGTAACTTTAGCTGGCTCTACTGTGGTCTCCGAAGGTTCAGGAACAGCACTGGTAACTTTTTCCACATCGGACTCAGGGGAAGAAGAAATTTCGTCTGACTCTTTAATTTCAGCTTTGCTGTCAGCTTCACTATCAGCTTCACTTGTGTCAACCTTCTTTTCTTCATCAATAATAGCTCCAGTGTCTACAGATTCTGATGTAACTTCCTCTCTGGTACTTTCAACCTCTGATGATACAGGCAAATTATCCTCTCCCTGCTTCTCTACTACAGATTCCGGCGGCGTGTCAGACAGATCATTTACTTCCGGAGAGGAAGAACATTCTGTTGAAGTAACGTTTACAGCATCCAAAACGTCAGCGGCACTGTTCACGTCTCCAAAAGTTACACTATCACTTGAGTCTGTTGCCTCTGCACTTTCTTCAACATCTTTAACTGTAATCTTAATTTCATCTTCTTGTTCTTTACTAGCTTCAGCCTCTGCACTGGGTTCTGATGGCTCTGATGGTTCCAATCGTTCTGATGGTTCTGGCGGTTCCGATGGTTCCGACTGTTCCATGTCTACATGATTACTATCTTCTTCAACAGGTGCAGATTCTGATGCAGTACTACTTTCACCATTTTCTTCAGGTTCCTTGGGAGAGTCTGAACTAGTGGTTTGTGGAGTGTTTTCCTCGAGACTGGAGGTGCTACTACTGCTGCTACTTGATTGATTGCTTGCGGCCTCTGGTGGATCGGAGACCCCATTGGGTATTGGTTCAGACAAGGCACTGTCAGGTCTGCAGGCGCCAGCACCTCCTGGCTCGCGGGTACTGACTACTAAGATGTTCTTCTCAATAGCTCTCATGAACTTGTCAGGCCGGTTGTATTCTTTACGAGGGGTTGTCAACAGCTCACATAGCCTCTGCACGGTGAACGGCGCGTTGGAGAACGCCTCCAACCTCTCGAGAAGAACTGTCTTCATGGTTTCATAGTTAAAGGGGTCAACGTTAGGCGAAGGAGAAATGTCGAGGGTGGGCGTAGTTTCGTAAAATTCTGTGATCACGTTCAGCAGTTTTTCTCGAAACAGAATCTTGACCGTTTGCCACTGGTACACGGGGTCACCCGTCCTTGCGACGTACATAAGATAGTCTTCCAGTTCACGGGGAATGTTTTTAGGCTTGAGCTTAGCGAACTCGTCGAGACTATGCAACACTTCTTCAGGATTATCCATTTTGACGGCAGCAGGGTTGAGGCAAAAGGCTGGATAATGCTCACAACTTTCCACACAAACACGGAATGTGATACATCAACACACACCGCCGCTGTGCGCTTGCGTAGCCACGACAGCGGGCGTCACAAAGCAGGGCTGACGCGTTAAAGCCCAACCTCGTTCTCTCAGAGTGAAAGTTGCACAAACATTCAGAAAATATAAAAGTACGAACCATAAATATTGCAGTTTTCGGTATTCTTTGCTCAAAAACGAACAGTTTGGAAGCCGAAATAGATATTTGTTGATCCGCAGTTGGTTACTTCGTACTACGGAGGCAGCGCCATCTTGCGGCCGGGAAGTTTATTTTGAGCGGGCTCTTCGAATAGCTTCAAATGTTTAACACCCCTCACCCTCAATTTTCCTGTCCATATTCTTTTGTCCATTTTAAGATTTAAAAAAAAATAACGTGCTCATGATAATAATTTAATTTCTAAATTTATCATTTTTTTGTTTTAGGTTTCTCCAACAGAGTTGGAAAGTGTCATACGTCAGATCCCTGGTATTGCTGATCTCGCCGTTGTTGGAATTCCAAATGAGAGGTATGGTGAAGTGCCTGTTGCCTTTGTCGTGCTTCAGCCTGGATCCAAGGTGCAAGAAAATGATATCATCTCATTTGTTGAGCCTAAAGTGGCACCATACAAGAGGTTGACAGGAGGAGTGAAATTTATAGAGGCTATCCCAAGAAATGCTGGTGGCAAAGTGTTGCGTAATGAATTGAAAAAAATGATGGCATAATAAAGTTTTGTAGATAATTTATTAT